CAAAGAAGCTATGCCTCGTATTCCCCTCTGCTCCAACCTCAACGCAACTCCGCAACTCCAGTGAATGGCGTTGGGCCCTTCGCCCCACCCGGTCTTTACCTTCCCGCTGATACTGCCTGCAGTCTGAAGAGGCGAAGGGTGTGATGATGTGTCGGCCTCTTGGTCATGGAGACCGAGGACAAGACGATGGAAGATGTCGACCAAAGGATCTGCCTGGACGAGAGGCTTGGATACGATCTATATCGTACGTATGTGTACGACAAAAGCAGTGCCATCCCGTACGACATCATACATCGCACGGCGGCACCGCTTACGTCGGTGCATTCCGTTCGGTGATCATGTTGAGTGCTCTACTCCTGTGCCCGTTCCTTTCAAAGCGCACAACGTTGTTAACAATAGTAGCTCCAAACCTATATCGGTGATAGTGGTCGCATGCGGCCTTGCCTTGCCTGATCTGGCCTGAGCGGTGCGTGGGTTGCCGGTTGGAGTTTGGGGCTTTAGGGTTAGGTAAGCGGAACAGCGGGGCGGCGGTGCCATGGCTGCGGCCATCAGCCAGCTTGCCGCATTCCTATGCCAGATTAGGCTATCCGGCTTTCGTTGCGTGCTGAACGCCATGGAAATGGTGAAGGTTTGTGGTGTCGTCAGTACGATGAGGTTGATGTACGGTCCTGACACGTAGAAGACAAACAAGGGCGTGAAGAATGAGAGGAACGTTGGAGAAAAGTGCATTATACCAGTAATAACCGATAAGAGAACGATAAGGGGGATATAGGGCACTCCGCATCTCCGACATGAAATTGCAACCCAAATGCATGCGGAAAACGGCATGGATTGTACGTCGGTATGTACGGTACGGCACGGTACGGGGCACCAGCCAGGCAACGCAGTCCTGTCCTTAGGATCGGCAGTAATGAAGACCGACGCAATGGACGCGGGGACCAGCTCTTAAAAAAAAAGGGTCTGGACCTAGTGCTATGTTGTACAGTCGGAAACATTCGGAGCGATTTAAACCCCATCACCCCATGTTCCCTTTCGCGCCGGTGTTGCTGCCTCTACCTGAGGCCTCTACCTGAGGCCTCTACCTGAGGCGTCTACCTGAGGCGTCTGTGAACCCACCACCACCGCATTTGGTGGTTCACAGGTTGGAAGCAGCCAGGTGAAGGTCAAGAGCGAGAGCTGAGACTTCCCAACATTATGCATCTCTCGAGTACGAACTGGTACCCAACTACCGCGCAAATGCACCTTAACGCAACCGCCACCCTACATCGCGTCCTCCCAAATCCGCTCTAGTTCTAGCTATCGTACAGTACGGTACCCAAAGGGGCGGGAACAAGAGGGGACATGAGGGGGCAATATAGATGTGCTACAGCCCTCTGCCAGCGTCCTGAGAGGCTGTTCCGGTGCCCAGCTACTGCACCAGCTCCCACCTACATACCTGGCATGCTACTGCCACCTGCACTCGCCCCCACCTGCACTCGCACATATTTTCCACGTATCCTCCCACGTAACCCTACGCCTCTGCCTACGACGCTAGGAAGGCAGCGGCGAACCGGCCACACGTTTCGCACCGCAGCGGTACAGCAAGGAAACTGAGCCCACAAACCGCGCATTATGCCGTACATCGTGTAAATGCCGTAGACCGTGTATATGCCGTACACCCGGGCTATGAGTAGTGTACCCAACAGTTTAGCTAGGTTGGACTCCTGTGCACACATGTACGACATTTCATGCAGGATGTCGCAAACAAAAGCAGCACTGGCTGGGTTCAAAGCAACATCCCAGCTCGCAAGCAATCCGCAGGTACTATTCAAACAGTCCATCGAGTTCAATTATTTTCCACAACAATTCCAAAACAATCAATATCCAGAAATTAAATCCCAAGCACGCGCAATAATTCAGGAAATGTCCATAGACGGCAGACCGCCAGTTCCTGTCCGCTGCTCATTTCGTAAAGACGACGTTCGTAAAAGTGCGCGGCCTACAGCTCTACCACCTCCACGGCGCTGCACGCACCAGCCTCCTCTTCCTAGGGGCACTATTGACAGGGACCGCCTTGATGACGTACAGCGGCGCGCGTGGGTGCAGCTGCTTTGCTACCAGCTCCGTGCAGGGTGCCACGTCAGGGACCTGCCGTACACCGTACATGCCGTACATGCATCCGTGCCGGGGTAACCATTGGTTGGATACAAGACGTTTGAGCGGGCGCAATCATCGCACCAAAGGGGGGGGGTAGACAAGGGGGGGGCGGTAGAAAAGCAAGGAAAATAGTGGCATGAAGTAGATGTGTAGCCAGGAAACATGCTGTCCTACCTGGAGTGCACGTGCATTGATTTAAATGCGCACTGCAGGCATAACTATTACATGTGGTGGGCACAAGAAAACACTGATATGGAAGAAAGCAGTACGGCATTTCGTACTGCTATTGCCGTGCCAATGTGGGTGAGCACATGGTTGTATACATATGGAAGTGATTGGGTGCGTGGGTGGATTGCTCCAGGACCTGTATGGCCTGGGCGTATTTTGTGCAAGACGCTGCGCGTTTGATTCGCCACTGTCTGGTTCTACGACGTGGTGACATAGCGATCAGCTGGCATTCTTCGCATTCACATAGCATGGTGTGGATATGCAGCCCAAGTCAAGGCGGGGCGCTTTACGTTTTGATACGAATTTCTTTATTGCGGGCCTGATATGCAGCTTGTGCGCAAACGGAAACGATTAAATTTACGCACGTTATGAAGCCCCCGCGCATAGACGGACCACCGTATTGCGCAAGCTTAGTAACTCCTATCGACGAGGACCGAGTGTTGTTTAACGAAAACGAACCTGAGGTGTGAGTCCCACGAATTCATTCTCAAGGATGTCATCTGTGATTGGCGCGTCAGCGGGTTTGCACAGGCGCGCAGCTGCATCGAGGGTTAAAACGCCCGAATCAGGCAGGGCAAATTTCTACCTCTGAATACCATTGAGCATCTCACCAATTTCGTCATCATCCATGTTTTCTTCGGGAGCGTAGTCCATGTTGGGTTTGACAAAGGTTACCATGTCAAGCCGGCCATTGATGCGAGCTATGGGCGGCGATCGTTCCTCGACAAAAGCTGCAGCAACACCCGTGTTTGATCCAGGCACGTATTTCCAGCGTGTGATGCTTTGGCGGCGCATGTTTAACTAGCGTGGCATGAAAACAGTTGTCATTGGGACTGCCTTTGTAGGCGATAAATGTGGGTCATTGCGATGCTGGAAAGTTAATAATTACTTTTTTCAGGTAAAACATGATTAACCTCAGGATCGTAACAGTTCTTGATTGCGTCGGTGTCGGATCCGAATCGTAAGTTAACGTTCCAAGCCGTTGCGTGGAGCTTCTTATAAAGTTTATAGTGATAGAGTTTTAAAGAAACGCTTTAAGTTGTGGCACTCGACCACGACCATCTATCACGACCGCCCGAGCCATGTACTGCCCTGAGTCACGCCTGCCTTACATCGATTAAAATTTGATATATAATTTAGCACGGTGCTCAACCTACGTTAATTTATTAACGAAGTGATGCCTATTTAACTACGTTCGTCACTCTAGCCGGTCGCAATCGTGCAAACTAAGCACCCCTGGTATAAAAAAGTATATTTGAGATATAAGTTACCTCTGGAATGCCTGTACCGATTATCGTACGCGCAAGGACGTGCCTTGCAACTGTGGCCGGTTATGGCCAGAACGCGCTGCGGACCGGCCTATCGCAATTCAGCACCCTCAGTCGCGACGTAGCTGAAGCAAACATGGTACGTGTCTAATTTTACACTCCGTACATGGAGTCCATGGTCCATCAACACCCGGACACCACCACTTCCGCAGCCACTCCCGCACGCATTCATTCGTCGCAGGTCCCCATCCTCCTCCCACTCTGCATTTCTGTTCCTCATTTCCCAGGAACTGGATGAGTTTTTTGGAGTTTCCAACAGCGCCAGTAGCAGATCCCTGGCTCCAAACCCTGGACGCCAATTTGAATCCGAGGTCACGAACCTCCATTTGGCTGCAGAGGGTGCCAAATTAGGCCCCTTGGGGCTGCCTTCCGCCCCGGTGGCGCAGCCCGAGACGCCATCTACGCTCCCAACCCACACACAGCCGCAGCCACAGTTACATCCGCAAGCCCGCGCGTTAACCCACATTGACGCATCAGGGTCCGCGTCCATGGTAGATGTATCCCAGGTACATCTGGGGTGAGGGCGGTACGGCTGGAAGAGCGGGGGCGGAAAAGTCGATCCGGTGAACGGTAGTACAAAGTGTTGCTAAGAAAGGGAAACACGAAGAGAACGAAGGAAACTAGAAGCCAGGTACCGAAGAAAGCAAAGGCCTGTAGGTGGACAGCCCCAGTCCAGGATTAGGCATTTCCTGGGCAAGGCCCAAGGCGGAGCACGGTGTTGTCTGGTTCCTCATCGCATCGGTGCGGGGAGGGGATAACGAATGGGGCCAGTGGGGCGGTTGTCGATGGCTGGGGGCCACCGCAGAGGGACGGGGGGAGGAGCTGAGTGGGGGATGTGCCTGAAGATCTGGCTAAGAGCAGCTGGGGGAAAGACGAACCACGAGCGAGTGAAGCTGGGGGAGGGGGAGCAGGGGAGCTTCCAGGGGGGAAAGCTGGGTCCCCCCGGACTGCGGGATGGCTCGACTAGCTTGCCGGTGCATGCCGGTGTGAATATTTGAGTACCCTGTGGGCCACAGCACTGATCTCGATGCCTTTCCAAGTCCTCTTCCCCGCCTCCAAGCTGCTACCACTCTTGTCTCTAGCTGATCGCATGGTACAGCATTTTGTGACCAACGAATATACCACCGGAATCTGTCTGCACAAAATCAGCGCGAGTGGAGCTCAGAGCTGAGAGAATCTGGACCGGGCTTGTGGCTCCGCAGCCCTTCCCCATGTTTCCCTCTTTTTTTCGCACATGCGCAGCGGCGCTATGTGCACGGCCCCTCGTTTCCAAAGGAAAACTGCAACACGTGAACGGTACATGTTACCAAGCCGCATATGGACACACCGACTGACCGACCCGCGGGTCAACGATTTGTGCAGAAGACAGTGACCGTGCGGGAAGCTCAGGCCTCGTGTGTGGTATCCCTTGGGGAGACCTTCCACTTGGTGGCCTCCAACGCTCTGGCCAAGGGGGACGTGCTCAAGGTGGCTCAGCTGGCTGGGATTTGCGGCGCCAAGGCCACCGCCAACCTCATACCCCTGTGCCATAGCATACCTATCAGCAAGGTACGGCAATGCACGGTACGCTACGGCGACCCGGGGTCATCGTTCTTCCCTCTCACGCCCTACAAAACCGGTCGAACCGACCGAGATAAATGTTATTTAGCTCCATTTGGGCACCTGTCGCACTATGCACCGCACATTGTTGCACATTGTTGCCGTTTGTTTGTGCGAGGGCCATGTTGTTGTACTTTGTACGGCAGGTGGATGTGCAGCTAGAGCTGGACGCCACTGCGCGCGCGGTCGTGGTACGCGGGCTGGCGCGCACGGACGGCAAGACTGGCGTTGAGATGGAGGCGTTGACGGCGGTGTCCGTGGCTGCGTTGACGGTGTACGACATGTGCAAGGCGGCGGCGAAGGACCTGGTGATTGGGCAGCTCCAGCTAGATTATAAGAGCGGCGGCCGTAGCGGGACGTATTTCCGTGCTGGGTTGCGGCGGTCTGACCTCTTGCCCTCGGCCAGGCCGCCATTGTAGAGCTCCCTCTGTTGCGAAGTGCATGAAGAATGATTTATGGATAGCTTGCTTGATGAACTGCGGGAAGAAGCTGCAGGGTGCGGCTATGGATGAGGCAAGGTCGACATGTGCGTCACCTCAGGGAGCATTTCGTTGGCGGCCTCGACATGCATATTCCCTGCTGTCAAAAAATGTTTTTTAAACCTTGTTGCGTCATGTTGGCGCTTGAGATATTAACATACATTGTGGAGGTCCCCTAGATGAGGATCTCTTGGTACTGATACTGCTTTGAAATTTGAGAGGCGAGTCGGTGTCAGGATGGCAGATGGGGAGAGCGAGAGGGATTGAACTTGGGCGCCATATGATGTGTGAAACAGGGGGTTGTATCTTCGCCCGTGGCAGCTACCCTGCGAAACCCTGCCTTCCCCGGTATTTCGGGGCACCCTCATCCAGTCACCCTAGTCAACTTCTCAGTGGATCGCTCAGGTTCCGCACCCACCACCAGCATCCAACGGAATCTGCCGGATCAACGGCGGCCCAACTCCATATGTAAGTAGGGTAGGCCTTGCGCGCTGGCTTGTTCCTGGCTGTCCGTGCCTCAGAACACCCACCCCGGCAGTGCATCCAGCTTGTGAGCTTGTAGACAGGCCACGCGATAAAAATTCGCAACCGATTAACGACGGCACCTCCTCGTCCAAAAAGGCGTTCGGCAAGCCGTTACAAGTAGTGCCTTTTTAGCTTCGTGCGTTTCTCACTTCGTTTCAGGCTTCGGCAAACGCTTCGGGCACTTCGGGTCGTACCGAAACTTCCGAAAATAGAAACAGAGTTCCCGAATTCGCTGGGCAAAATCGCGTTTTCTACTGCGGCCCTGTAACAGAATTTGGACGGGTTCGACAGAAATGGACCCGTTCCCCAATCAGAAATACTCCTTTTGCCAATGTCTGCTTCGTTTGTGACCGGGAGTTCGTTAATCACCGTTGGACGAAACGCTAACGGCTAAACGTTGTTCCCAACTTCCCAGTGCTTTTGTTTATCCAGAAACGCAGACTTTGGCAAACAGAAGTTACCTGTGCGGAAAGCAGGAGGCCAGCGATACAGCCCCTCAATCTGCAAAGTCTCTAAGTCAGTTTATTTGTAGGAGCACATCAGAGCGGTTTGCTGGTTTCCGCAATCAAAACCTAATCCTGTTTGATTATTACTACGTATCTTCTGGTAACTGTTCATAGCGCCGCCTCCAAAGGTGCTTCATGCTCAACATCCAGCCGACTTGGGTTCAAGGACATGCTGCCAATCCTTTTGTTCACATGTAGTCTAGGGGGAATTTATCTGTCGCCAGGAAACATACTTTGTAATTCAAAAGCGTAGAGACAGATGTAGTACTGAAGTATGCTTCTTCAGCCACGTCGCCTGTCCCTGATCTCCCTGCCCGGGTCCCAAATAAGACTCAACGGCGCATGGACTCAACGGCTCAAAGCTCGCTGCAGCAATGGATCTGTGCAACCGCCAGCGACAGCACCATCCAGGCGGCGCCCGCCAAGCAAGGACTCAAACGAGAATGGGCGCCGCCGAGTCCCTGATCCCACATGTGGGTGCGCCGTCAGGGAAGGCGAGTCGGGTGCCATGCCAAAGGCATCTGAGCCCTGCCTGTGCATCTACTTAAGGAACATGTCCGAGTCGGTTGACATGCGATATGCCTGATGGGACATGCATAGCATCAACAGCACATCAACAGCGCATCAACAGCGCATCAACAGCGCATCAACAGCGCATCAACAGCGCAGGCCGATACTGCTGACAAAGCACCAAATCACGACTTACGAGGTCGCCATGTCCGCCTTAGCCCGCCGACACCAAAGCCGGAAAACTGACGCAGCTTTCCCATCCTGAGCAGTTGTCCGACTTGGATACCTTTCTCATGTGGTGTGTCAACTTAAACACCGGCCTTTGCCTTTTGAGATATGTGTCCCAGCAAGGTGAACTTATGACTACCTTGACCGACCCAGATGGGCTCCCACCGTTGACCACCTGCCCCGCAGCAGGTCGCCCAGGCGCGCATCAGCAAATCCTCCAGCAGCGCGGTGGAGCCGACTCCTCCGACGGTCAGGGCAGCCAGGGGACATCGCGACATGGCGCCGTTGCCGCACCGGCTGTAACAACGCCGGCTGCCACCAACACAGTTTCTGGGAGGCACCTGAACCGCAGCGCACCTTCCAATGTTGTTACACCACTTCAATCCACCACAGCCGCCAACAGCGCCATCAGTAACCACCACCTTGTCCACACTGGCACCTACATCCATAATAGCTACGCACGCCCCGGATCTGAGCCCTCGACTAACAGCCAACAGCTCCCCCCGGCCAGGCGGGGACATGGGCCCCTAGAGCCGCAGCGGCGCGTCGATCAGACCAAGCGACCCGCGGGTCATGGCGGCGCCAGTTGGGACCAAAGGTCCTTCTCGGATGACGGTAGCGGAAGCAGCACCCGCAGCAGCAGCACCTCGATGGCTAACCCATCGGATGCGGCTCCTAATCGCCAGCTTACCGGCTGGAAGTCAGATGGGGCTGCTAATGGCAGCGGAGGCGGCGGGGTCGGTGGCGGACGCAAGACTGCCATGTCATTCAAGGGGGCTGCAAAACAGATTAATGCGGACATCATGGAAGCTGGTCGCAAAGGCAACTGGCAGGTTATACTACAGGCAGGTCCGGCTGGCTGGCTGGTTTGGGGAGGGTAGCAAGGGATGGTGGGTGCATCAGTTCGTTCAGATGTGTGCAAGGGCAATGGAAATACCGGCCAGATTGGAACACGACTCGGTTGAGCCCCGGGGGAAGGTGAGAACCCGCCGCACCCCAGCCCAGCCCATTTAGCCCTCTTGTCCTATTCATCCTCCACATGACTCGCATGCGACGTTGATCGACTTGTGCGTTGCAGTTGGTTGCGCAGCACGGTGCGCAGTTCAACTCCGTGAATGCGGCGACTGCGTTGCATCGGTTGGGTTCCTGCGGGCTGCAACCGGGCAGCTGGGAGGCGAGGAAGCTGCTGACCGACCCACGGTTCGCACAACTGGAGCGCCTGGCGGGTGAGTGTCTATAGGGTACGGTCCTCCTGGAGTATTAAAGCCTGTACCATTCCTGCAGCATTAAAGTCACCATGTTACCCAAACCAGAAGGGCTGGGACCAGAAAAAACAGGCCAGCATCTGTGCTTGAGTTCTGTGCCTGAGCCATACCGTATATCCAAGTTAAGCTTTTTTGGACGTAGGCTCAGTTATTAAGGCTTTGCGATGTGGGTTTTGCGATCTTGCCTTCCGCGACGGGCACGCATTCCCACGAGTCGTGGCCCGCGCCTAGGGGGCCTCGCAGTTGGGGAGGGGGCTCCGTTGGGGTCCCTGCCCTACGCGGATTCGTCCTCCTTCCCCCAGTTAGCTGGCCCAGCTGCCCGCCGCAACATGCACACACAGCTTCTTGGCAATTCCCTTGGCGCCCACATACCGGATGTGTGTGTGTGTGTATACAGGCTTTGTGCTTGTGTGCGCGGATGCGTGTGCGCGAGAGCTTGCATACAGTCGGCGCACAATCACCCACGGTGCTGCCACCAAGTGTTCGTCTGATGGGTTTCCTATATCGTAGTTGGGTCCACCGGCACCTGCGAAACAGATGTACGACGGGAGAGGGCGTGTGTTTTAATGATCTTCGGAATCGTGAGCAGGAAATGGCCTCAAGGAGGAGTGATACACGGGAGGATAACTTTGGACCGAGGTGATGAATTGTATAGGCCTCACCCACACAAACATCATCAGGTACCTAACGAAGGTGTCCTTTGGGGTCCTTTTTGGATTCTTGTGGATCTTTTTTGGATCCTTGCGGATCTTATTTAACGCGTTGAAAGTGATTTTTGTTGCTTTGCAGAGGCACACGTGCCGTCCTTCGGCCCGCGTGAGGCTGCCAACTGCCTGTGGGCGCTTGCCAAGTTAGGCTGCGATCCGCCGCCCTCAAAGGACAACGACGCCGACCTCAACCAGAGCTATGGCGGCAAGGGCGATGGAGCTCACTTAGGGGGCCTTATGAGCCGCAGCCGCGGAGGCAGCGCAGTTGCTCCTGCTGCTGCTGCTGATCATGATCACGATCATGATGATGGCACCGGCAGCACCGGCCGCAGCAGCGCCAGCAGCGAGGCTGGAGGGAGCTTGCTGGCGGCGCTGTGCGGCCGGATGGAGGTCCTCCTGGAATGCTTAGGACAACAGGAAGTCACGAACGTACTATGGGCTCTTGGCACGCTAGGTATGTATGTATGTATGTTGTTACAGGGTGGTTAACTTCGCCAGCGGCCCCCTTTCCCGGGGCAGTCCCTGCTCTCCCCTGCTAGAGGGGCACCCTAATCCGTCACCCCATCCGACTTCAGAATGTATTCGTTGGGTTCGGCAACTCACCACCAGCATCCAACCAAATCTAGCGGATCAACGGCGCATCAACTTAGTTCCTGGTTAGCTCGCAAGTATGTATGTATGTATGCATGCATGCGGGCCCGACCCCGGGGGAGAGGAATCCATGATTGGCCGTCCCAGGAGGATGTCTGGCTGCCGAGAGTAGTTTTGCGTCCGGGATAAGCGCGTGTGGGGATAAAGCTTGCGGGTTGTGGATCGGAACGAGGAATGTATACAGCTGAGGATGAGTGTTTGCGCGTGCATGTGCGTGTGCATGTGCGTGTGCATGCGCATGTGCATGTGCATGTCTTTTTCTTTACGATCAGGTTTCAGTCGCGGTTTGCAACTACCTTGTGCTTTTTCGTCCGCAGGTCACCACCCTGGCGAGGCCCTGCTCCGGAACCTGAGTATGAGGTTGCTGGGGCTGCTGGCGGAGGTGCCCCCTCAGGGGATTGCCAGCTCCTTGCTGGGACTTGCCAAATTAGGATGGAGCCCGGGGCCTTATGTGCTGGACCAGGTGGCCCGTGGGTCGGTGGCCAAGATTGGAGAGTTCAATGCGCAGGTGGGGGGTGTTGTTGGTAGGGGCGGGGGCCCGCGGATGACACTGGAGACAAAGTGAAGTTGCAGGTCAAGTGGATGACTGGTCCCCAATAGTTTTCTTATAATGCTTCTTCATGATGCGCTAATAATTCGCTCATAAGCGCAACTGCCTCCGGTTCCCGCATCCCAGGTTTTTCCTCCCTCCTAGGCCCGCTCACGTGTCGGCTGATGAAGCAGTCTTTCCTCTCCGGCCCGCAATAGCTGACTTTTCTGCACCTTTCTCCACCTTTGACTCCACTTTTGACTCCACTTTTGACTCCACTTTCTTCACCTTTGACTCCACCCCCGGTGGTTCAGAGCCTGACGTCACCCTGTGGCTCTCCTTCCCTTCCCCCCCTTCTTGTACACTCTTTCCTTGGCAGCAGCTTCACTCGTTTGTGGTTCGCCTTTCCCCCCGCCTCCCGCCCTTCCGCCTCCAGCAGTTGATACTTTCGACGTCGGCAGGGGTTTGATTCTCTGCTCTTTGCATTTGATTTCTCTTTCACGCACATGCACCTCGCCATTTCCTCCCCTGGTCACTGGCCTGCTCGGGGCACTTCCTATACCCTCCACCCATCCGCATTGAACTCCCCTACCCCCCTCCCCTCGCCCGCCGCCGGTCTCAGGCTCTGTCCAATACTATGTGGTCCCTAGCGCGACTGGGCTACTACAATCCCCAGCTTCAGGATGCCATGTTCCGACAGGTGGGTGAGCTCAGGGTTACCGTACGGCGGAAGATTTAGCGTACGGCGGCAGATTTAGCTTGCTGCGCAGGTCGCGATGCAGATGTTTTACTTGAGTGTCCGCGTGTCTGTCTGTCTGTCTGGCATCGCGGCATACGAACCTGCACACCTACATGCCTAGATTCATACGTATGGATGGCGGTCGGTAGGTACGACACGCAGATCACACCCTCGTTTCACGTCACCAATTTTAAAGTTTGAGAGGGCTCCTGCAGACGTTGCAGGGCCCATGTGGCCTGCAATCCTGTAAATCCGTGTAAATTGAATCTGACAAAAAAAGGTTCGTCCGTAAATTACATGTGTGCCAGGCCGTATGCAAAATAAGGCCCTCTTGTCTCTTGAGCATGGACCCCGTATTGAACTCCCCTACCCTCCCACGTGTGCTCGTACATGTGTACGACAACCGTCAGGCCCTAAGGCGCCTCTCGGAGTTCAGTCCTCAAGGGATTTCCAATCTGATCTGGGCGGCCGCAACCCTAGGGCTGACAGTCGTGTCTGAGGGAGACGGGAACGGAAGTGGGAGACCAGGTGGCTGCGGTGAGGGTGAGAAAGGTGGCGGTAGTACTATTCCGTCAGGCGATGTTCCGGAGCCTCTGCTTCGGACCTTTTGCGACCAGGCCGCGGTGTCGCTGCAGGTGCGGGTGCCCGCGCGCTGGCAACAGGGCGCCAAATGGGGGATAATGGGCTGGCGGGTGGTGGGTGGGTGCCGTATATGCGGGACTTTCCCGCCAGAGGTTGGATGGGCCGGTGCGGTGGGGTGTGGTGGGGCGGGAAGGGGAGGGAAGGGAGTTTGATTGGCTATTGGGGCCCACCCTGGGAAGCTGGGAGCCCACCCTCCCTCCTTCCCTCCCTCCCTCCCTCTTTTTCCCTCCGCTCATGTCTCGTTCCTTGCGCCATTCATTTACCCATCCATCTGTGCCGCTTACTTACTATTAAACCTTATTAATTGCCCACTCGTCCCTGCCTTTGGGCCTATGTGCCTATCAGAGCTACTCACCGCAGAACATCTCCAACCTGCTGTGGTCCACCGCCAAGATGGGCTACTTGCACGAGCCCCTGATGCGAGCGGCAGCCACACAGGCGGCCGGACAGCTGGCAGCGGAGGTGGAGGAGCGGGAAGGCAGGGAGGAAGAGCAGCTGGAGGAGGAGGCGGAGGAGAATGACAGAGGGGACAGCAGCGCCAGCGCCAGCAGCAGCAGCAGCAGCAACATGCGTAGACGAGATGGGGACAGAAGGGGAGGAGGAGGTGGCGGCAGGGCTACCGGAGCTTGGAACTCTCAAGAGGTTGCGAATGCGACATGGGCCTACGCGACATTGGGGTTTCAGCCAGGGGCCGAGTTCCTCAAACAGGTGGCCCGGGGATGGCATGTACACGAACATGTACCTTGCGGTAGCTTGCAAGTTAGCATGACAGGTTCGGAAACACCACTGGAAAGGAGAGACGTCAATGTCCACACAGACCCCTCATGACCTGTGAGGTACCTGACCGCTGGCACCTGGCCCCCACCCCCTTTCCCTCCTTCTCCCTCCCTCCCCCTCCCTCTCGCTCCCTCCCCCTCCCTTGCCCTGGCAGCAGCTTCACTCCCTCCCCCTCCCCCCCCCCCATGCGTTTTTGTATTTTTCTTTCGCTGCTCACAACTCTCCCACCTCTCTGCCTTGCATGTGCCTTTGCCCGCTGCTCCTGCTGCCTGGCCAGGTGAGTCCAAAGGGTGGTTCGAGCTTCTTTGGTTTTTCGCGTTGGCGTCGGTCGGCTAGCCGGAATAGAATAGTCGGGTCGGTCGGGTCGGTCGCGCGTTTTAGTTTTTGGGGGGTTGGGAGGAGCACTTGCATACCGACAGCCTTTCAGCATCAGCAAATCAGCTATTTCTCCAGGCCAGCAACTTTATACCACCTTTACGACAGCACTATTTTACTA